AGTTCTTCATCAGTAAGACAAGATTCGACAGGTACAACATTACATCGGCAATCTTCATATGGAATATTGTTATACATATCCAATTTAACATTTGTAACACTTGGCTCTCGAAACATAAAAACTGATTTCTGAATTTCACCAAGAGTAAATGTATAACGATATTGTACACAAATGAAAAAAAATAATACATAAACATGGATGCGAATACGTATTGGACTGGCACCATAGATACGAAAATACGATGGCATTTTTCTATATTATTAGACACAAGTTTATATAAAATACAATAAAATATGATTATACGCGATTATAAACCTAAAATAAATCATTGAAAATATGAATTCATCATCACATAACAAAATCAATACAACAGAAAGAACTATTGTCATAATATTAAATATTTTTATTAAAAGGAATTCACAAAAAGAAAACAACTAATTCTATGGTTCCAAGAGTCTGTTGATCCGAGATAATTCTAAAAGATTCTATTTCCTGGAATAAGACGTATTTTTCGTAGAAATTCATTCATTTAGTAAGATTCTCATCATAAACTGGATGAAAATCAAAATAATATATTGAATCAATAAAATCATCATTTTATACAATGTTGACAATGAGGATAAAGACACAATACAAAATGAACAATTATCATTATAAATCTAACGAAAATTTATATTATCCAAAAAGAAAAAGTCATTAAAAAAAAACTAAGCATTAATGATTGACATAAATGAAAAAGGCAAAACTCAAAGATTCGAGAATATAAGAGAACAGTTTCATTCGAGCATCAATAGAATACAATTAGAATATATTTCACCTATACTCAGAAATAATGATGTCCTGTCTTGTTTTCTTTCTAATTAATATGAATAAATGAAATAAATGGTAGAAATAGGAAAGATAGATCAATATTTCCTCTACTTTTTATCAAGACAAGTTAAGTTATTTTCAATCGATCATCAGACAGTAGAATTATAGTTGAAAATAATGTATTTTAATTTATCATCAATCTACATCGAAAGGTATCCGATTAATCAAATTATAAAGAAAACTATTTATCATCACATACTATTTGAATATTTTTCATCAAAATAAAATACTCACAATGAGCATATGGTTAACCCTTTGAGGACTGTGAGACATATGTTGCCCCACCTATTTTCTGTGGAAAAGAAGTCTTTAGTCAACATTAAATAATTAAATCTGCAAGGTCATTAAGGCATTAAACAATCATATTTGTTATCGTATACTTGTCTTTTCTTTCTTTTTTGTCTAATATAAATACTTTTCAAATATTCTTTGTTCTTGCTGCTAAGGTACAGTCATATCTTGATTTTTCTCTTCTGTTCTTTGTTTTTAAAGAATATTCATATTCTTCATCAAGTCTATCTACGTATAGTCTTGTTCTCATTGACAATTTTACGTTGTTCTTGGATTCACAATGCATTTCATTTCTCTTTTGTACTTGTACTCCTCAATTCTTTATATACTGTTATTATTAAAACGATACAAATGCATTTATATGGAAATAATCAAGTACATGTCGAGTCCTGTGATTCATATATCAGTGATGATTGTAGAAAAAGTAACTTCGATTTCGATCACAATCAACTAGCCGATAACTTAGACAATGTTAAATTTTCTAATGAAGATTTGGGTACATATATATAGAGATGCTGAATTCAATAAATGAAAGCTATATCACGGATGACAGCTTTATCTTAATTTTTGTCAAAGAGCAAACTCCTTTTTCAGTCCTTAGACTCGTTTTTTTACTCAAAAAAACTTCAAAATAAAAAAAAAATTGTACTTTTTTGATTATCATAAGACTTTTATGTAGCCATTCGAAATTAAAATAAAATAAAAAAGTTGAATAATGTTTTTTTTTCTCAATAAAAAAATTCAGTCCTCAAAGGATTAATTGGTTTTCCTCTCTGATTGCTTATCGATAACCATTCGAGAAATAAAACTGTAATTAGTTTTCAACAAAAGCCATCTCTTTCAATTGAGATCTGATCAATGGAATAAGAAAAAGAATTTTTCATTATAGAAAGATGAAAGATCACAATATTTATTGATTTTTTCTTATGTAAATCTGTATGATGTCAATAAAGTTCAGACTAAAATAATCTTTATCTTTCTTTTCTAATAAATAAATGAAATAGTTTTTGTTTAAATATATTTCATTTATAAAAGATATAATTAATTTGAAAATATTCTCAATGAAATAATTATATGAGAAATCTATAGATTGATGTGAAGTTTCACAAAAATCTCTGAATGAAAAATATATTAATCAATTATCTCTATCATTTATAATAAATAGAATTTTAATAAATCTTATTCAATTATTTAAATGATTAGAAGAAAACAACAACAACAACAATAAGAAAGAATCCATTTATTTATCAGAAATGATTTTTTTAAATACTTACAGATAAAAAAGAATTCAATTTCTTCAATTGAAAAATTTATTTGGGATATTTAATGAAAATAGAATTGACAAGATATTTTCAAATGAGATTAATTTATTCTCAATTACAAATTTTTAAAATGTTCGAGAACATTCTAAGGAAAAGAATATTTCCGATTCCGATATCAATCTGAAGGAAATAAATAGAACAATGGATTATCTATATCATTTATTGATAAAAGATATTATATACACACTGATCGATTGAATTCATCAATAAAAATCGATGAATGATAGATGGCATGTTCATTTAACAGAATTTTCTTAGATTTATTTGAAATTAAATAGAAGATTTCTGTATTTTAAATAAATAGTTAATAAATAAAATCCTATTATTAATAAAGTATTATGTAAACTTCATATTTTTGATGTGTTTTTTTTTACAATAAAAAATCTATTTGAAGAAAAATCAAATAGGATAAAGTGAAATTGATGTTTCAAAAAAAGTATATTTTTATAGATTATTTAATTTATTCGAAATAAATAAAAGGAATATTACTGAGAATGTCGCTGAGATTGAGAAGAAATTCATTGTCTCAATGTTTCAATCAGTACAAGATCTAACAATAATGTCCAAAAGACTGCAAATTTTTCTTCATTTTATTTTAATTTTTAAAATCTTCTAATTCAAAAAGAAACTCAATGAATGAAAAATTTATAAATAAAAATTGCAAAAAATATTGAAAAAATTCTATCTTCCAAATGTTTTGAACAAGTATCATTGGTTGTTTATTGTCATTATATGATTGAACAAGACGTTTTCATAATATTAACTAAACGAAAAACTTAGCAAGAAAATATTTTCGAAAATGTAATAACGATTTCAATTAATGAATAGGGTGGGGTGTGGGTGTGGGTGGCTGTGGGTTGGGTGTGTGGGTGTGGGTGGCTGTGGGTTGGGTGTGTGTGGGTGTGAGTATGGGTGTGGGTGGGTGTGGGTGTGGATGTAGATAAATAGAAGAACCACACCCGTAGCCCACACCCCGTCTGTTGGTTTATGCGATAACTTTGAAAAGGAGACTCTGATGGTGATGAAAGTTTTTATACAAAATTGTTTCATCGATATCTCGGTTGAGTTCGAAGACGAAGATGATTTATCGAGCTACTGCTGAGTTATCGCAAAATAAGTAATTATTCTCTATGCTTTTCTATGTGAACATTGGCATATGCCGGTTTTCGTAAAAAAATTTCTCACAATCAAAAAAAAGTCTCAGCAATTGCATACTATTGAATAGAGAATTTCACGAGCTACATGAGGCTATAGGAAACATTAAGAAACAAGAAGAGAAAGTCACCTTTTACAAAGATACGTAAACTAAAATTGGTTATATTTTTTTTGTCCACGTTCTAGTTGATCGAAAATTAAAAACTTCATTTTCTAGTGACAGACATGATACTTCGAGGTTTGTTGAATTGGAGAACTCGAACCTAAGCTCCAGTTGCCTCGACATTCTGTTGGCTGAGCAGTGAACAATAGAAATCAAGTTTCAATAGGAAAGGTTTTTGTAGGAAAATTTTGATGATGTTTTCACATGCTAGAATGACTCATCTTTCTAGTTTACTTTTTAAAGTACACATAACACTTGGATTTCAATCCAATGTTTTCACTAATGTGAATTAGTCAAATCTGTTGTCGAACACATTTACCAATAAAATTGGAGGTTGAAGCAAACATGATGTATTTTGATTATTAGTTTTAATGAACTTGATTATAAAAGCGTTTCTCTTATAATTCAATGCAAAAGCTTCAATTTTCGAATAATGTCTGACGTTCCCTACTTAAGCAATTTGTAAGTACATACCCAGATTCATTTACCACTGTTTAGATTAAATAAAATTTCATCATATAAATAAGATATCAATAAACTTATTTAATACAAATTATTTCCGGATTTAATTCATTTTTATTTTCAACTATAGATTTTAATCAACTCTAAATAACAAAATGTTGATCATCAGTAGATTCCTGCCTTTTTTCAGACGGAAAATGTCATTCAAAATTGTTTCTAAATATTAAAGTTTTCTTCTTATCTCATTTTTTATCTTGTAGAGCAGAAGCAACTTTGACTTGCTTACAGAATTAATATTTCTAGATACATAAACCTAAAACATTCGATTATTCGATATTAGCTAACTTTTTTTTGATTCCTCAAAAATAATAACTCTTTTTCACTTAAAATAAAAAATATTTCTTATGAATAATATTCTCACCCGTCAGTAGAAAAAAATTTAAAATATCAAGGCTTCACATTGTTAATGTATTGTGGAGTCAAATAATTTGATGGTTCTCACGAATTTACTATTAAAAACAAGATATATCCGATGATAAGCCAAAAAAATGGATTGATATTCTCTGAATTGATCGGTGAAAGGTGACATTTAAATTAAGCAAATGCAGTAAATTTAATTTTTAAATAAAATCATGTAATGAAATTGATTATAATATTTATTTTATTCAGTAAATTGGGAATATGTCAATTATTTTTCTATATTTGATTGCTTTTTGTGGTCTTTTTTGACATGGTAAGCTTACCGTGGTGAAATAAAAGGATGTATAGCACGAAAATATTCACACTATTATAATATATGGCAAAAAAGTTTGTGACATTTTTTCTATTGATATAAATATGAAAATTTTTGAGAAATTTTTTCCATAAATTATATCATAAGATGCAGCGTGAAAAACTCTACAATTTACATAAGACCACTTATTTTATAGCTGCAATTTTTCTTTTCAAAATAGATAAAATTTTGAGGAAGCAAATTTCGACCATG